CGGTTTGTTTGTTTTCTGGCCGAGCAGATTTGGAGGATATCTCGAGCGAGGCGTTCATTTTCACGCCCCTGGGGGGAGCCTCCGAGGGGTATGACACGGTCCCGTTCGCGGCCGTTTTGTGGGGATGTCTCAAGCGGTTTGCTTGTTTTCTGGCCCAGCATCCTTCGCGTCCGGAAGAGATTTGGAGGATGTCTCGAGAGGCGCTCATTTTCACGCCCCTGGGGGGAGCCGCCGAGGGGTATGACACGGTCCCGTTCGCGGCCGTTTTGTGGGGATGTCTCATGCGGTTTGCTTGTTTTCTGGCCCAGCATCCTTCGCGTTCGGCGCAGATTTGGAGGATATCTCGAGCGAGGCGCTCATTTTCACCCCCCAGGTGGGCCAGATGTTGAGGATGTCTCGTTCTGTTTGCCTGTTTTGGTGGCCAGACTCGTGGGCACAGATTCTCTTCAGGGTGGCACAGGATGCTCCAACAAGCTCCAGGAGGCCACTGGGGACCACATGAGGTCTCAGGAGGCATCAGGAGGCCACAGAAAGACTCAAGAGGCCACAAGATGTCCCAAGATGCTCTAGGAGGCCGCAGGAAGCTCCAGGAGGCTTCAGGAAGCCACAGGAGGCCCCAGGAGGCCACAGGAAGCGCCAGGAGACTTCGGAAGGCAACCGGAGGCCCCGAGAGGCCCCAGGAGCAGGAGGCCTCAGAAGGCAACAGGAGTGGCTCCAATCCCATGTGTTTTACGTATGCTTCTAGAGATTGGGCCTCACCTGGAGCACGAATCCTTGACGTTATCCGTACGTTTCTATAGATTATCCTTCTCCTGTGAACACAATCCTAAATGTTTTACTTCTGTTCCTATATGTTGGGCCTCTCCTTGGGCACGAGTCCTTGGTGCTTTACGTGTGTTCCTATAGATTGCTCTTCCCCTGTGGCTCCAATCCGAGATGTTTTATGTTCGTCGGTTGCTATATATTGGGCCTCTCCTGGGGCACGAAGCCTCTCTGGGAGGTCCCAGGAGGCCCCAGGAGGCTCCTGGAGGCCCCAGGAAGCCCCAGTAGGTTCCAGGAGGCCCCAGGAGGCCGCAGGCTCATGCGCAGAGACGCGCTCGTACTACTGAGGCTTATTCACACTCCAATTCATTTGCACTTAGATTCATGACCAGACCGTCACAACTGAAGCCCGTTTATATTCGAAAGCTCTTGCGCCTAGACACTCACGGCGGACAGGTCCACGCGAATATGCACATATGGGGAGCTCCGCGCAGTGAATAATTCCAAGGCTGCGACGGTCAGTCGCCCTTCTCCTCCTGCGGTCCCTGCACCCGCCGACCAGCACCGCGGAGACAAGCAGCTCGGCAACGAGTACAAGTGGGACGAGCAGCGCTACGCTGTCGAACACAAAAAGGCCCGACACCACTGGCCCCAGCACAACGGGGCTGAGCAGCACGTCGCCGACCAGCACCGTCAAGACAAACGGCGCGGAAACGAGCAACAATGAGACTAGTAGCGCGACGTCGATGTGCACCACATGTGCACCACGGGCTCCAGCACAACGGAGTCGAGGGGCGCGTCGCTGTTCATCACCAGCGCGACAAGCAGCACGGCTACGATCACCAGAGAGTCGTGCAGCACGACGTTGCTGAGCACACCAGGGTCCAGTTGCATGGGCTCCAGCTCAACGGGATCGAGCAGCACGTCGCTAACCAGTACCACTTGGACAAGCAGCACGGCAACGCGTCCTGGTACTCTCACCTCAGCTACCTGGGGCGCTCCAGCGCACAGGGTACATTGTCGATGAAAGCGTGTGGCTTTCCACAGGAGCTTAGTTGGCACTGTCAGGGTTGGCATAGCCAGGGTTGGCACAGTCACGGTTGGAATAGTCAGCGCGGTCGGAGATGGCACAGTCACGATTGGCATAGTCCATAGTCAGCAACAACTGCCCGAGTAAATGTTCTACCGTTCTCCTCCTCTCCTCTCACACCGTGTGCCTGGCGTGCACTTCCTTTCCTCCCCTCTTGCATCCTCATGTTGCAGCGGTTAGCTGCCGCACCGGGGTGCCTACCGTGCCTGGCGTGCACTTCCCCTCCTCTCCTTTGTTTCACCGGGTTTATCCCACCCGCGACGGTTTGTCACCTACACCGGGAAGAGTGCGAAATGGGCCGCGAGCCGCAGGAGTAGGAGCAGGGAGGCGACTGAGAGGACCTTGCCGACCGTCCAACACAACCCACTGGCGACACGACCCCTGGGAACACCCTGCCGCCTCGGATTCCAACAGACTCTGCGACGGTCAGTCGCCTCCACTGGGAAGAGTGTGTAGATAGTCGCGTGTCGCAGGGGGAAGGGGAGCCCTCCGCTGCGGAGGAGCTCAATTGGCACAGTCAGGGTTGGCATAGCCAGGTTTGGTACAGTCATGGTTGGCATGGTCAGCGCGGTCGGAGATGGCACAGCCACGATTGGCATAGTCCATAGTCAGCAACAACTGCCCGCGTAAATGTTCTACCGTTCTCCTCCTCTCCTCTCACACCGTGTGCCTGTCTTGAATTTCCTTTCCTCCCCTCCTGCATCCTCACGCTGCAGCGGTTAGCTGCCGCACCGGGTTGCCTACCGTGCCTGGCGTGCATTTCCCCTCCTCTCCTTTGTTTCACCGGGTTTATCCAACGCGGTTGGGGTTGCCGCCAATACCGCTGTCTGATGGTGCTCTGACAGCTTGAATTCCATGCAAGGATCACACTGGGAATGGGCGGTCAGGTGGCCCCTGGCCTGCTCCTGGCGGGTGTCGGCCTCCACTGGTGACCGAAAGGGTTCAGTGGGGTCCCGCTGCGAATTCCATGCAAGGATCACATTGGGAATGGGCGGTCAGGTGGCCCCTGGCCTGCTCCTGGCTGGTGTCGGCCTCCACTGGTGACCGCAAGGGTTCAGTGGGGTCTCGCTACGCTGCCGACCTCGTCGGTGCAAGGACTTCGGCATGTGTGGCTCGGCGCGCCCGTCGGCTGCTTTCTCCTGCAAGGACTTCGCTCTCGACATGTGACACTGCTGTACAAACAAGAGGTACTGCCGTATGCAGTCCTATCTGTGACGAGGTTGCCCCTCTTCACTCTTGCGCTGACACGATGCAGTTGTGTCGCCTACGGCACGGACGTCGTCTGGGTGTGCCTGTCGGTCCTGTCCGTCTTTGACGGCGCCTTGTGCCGACTCGCACCGAGCGATTGACCTCTGCGTGTTTATGGTCGCGCCGCCGCGCCATTTGGGCTGCGCTTACTTGCTGGTCGCCACCGGGATCTCCACGCCACCGGTTTGGGAGTTTCGTTTCTGGCTTTTCTTCTGAGTGGCTGCCCGCGCGCTCGATTCGCGCCTCTCTTTTCTTGCTGCCTAGTTGCGGCCCGACTAGTGTTCGGACGGCTTCCGACTTGCTTCGCGAGCCCGCAGACCAAAAAGTATCCCCACCAACCCTGGTGGACATCGTGCATTTCGCTATTTTGGTGTTGCACCTCGACTGGTGGTTCTTCCTGGTCTACCGTGTCTTCTGAGCCGCAGCGTAGCTCGCCTCCTGTGTGCTCTTTCTTCGTTTTTTCCTCCACGTTGTCCGCCTCGTCCTCGGCTTGTTTTCCTCCCCCCCTCGTGCCGCGGAGTTTACGCCGTTGCTAGTCCGCCGCGTTCCTTGACGGCGCCCGGCATCCCAGTGCGCTTGCGAACAAAACAGTATCCCCACCAACCCTGTGAGCGGCAGCGAGGCGCGCTGTTTGCCTCTCCCCTTGCTTGGTCTTGTTTGTTTCGCCTTCCTCGTCCCGTGCGCTAATTTCGGCCGTCGCCTCTGCGCTTCGCCCTTTGACTCCGCCCGACATGTTCGCCGCTGCCGCGATCAACAAAGTATCCCCACCACCCCGATCAGAGACCTTGCCCATGAGAGATAAAAGGGGGAACGGGACGAAAAGACACATATAGTGCCAGGATGAAAACAGAGACCTCCAGGTGCAAGGGTTGGCCTCGCATGGCCTCTTCGGGACATCCCTGGGGCCAGAGAGGGGGGCCGAGGGGAGGAGGAGGAGGAGGAGGAGGAGGAGGAGGAGGAGGAGGAGGAAGAGCAGGCAAACCGCCACTTGGGGCCCTCGTGGAACGGTTTCGGGGCGCTTTCGAGCGCTCTTTGGTTCCGTATTGGGGCCGCTTTGGAGCCGTCTTTGGGCTCTTTTGAGGCTCTCTTGGGGCTTTCTGGCGAGCCCTGAAGGGCCTCTTGGGGCCATCTTGGAGGGCCTCTCGGGGCCATTTTGCTTTAGGCCCATCTTCGCGAGCCCTCAAAACCGTCTCTTGGCGCCCTCTTGGGGCGCTCTTGGGCGCTTTTGGGACCGTATGGGGTGACCTCTTGGGCCTCTCTTGAAGCTCTCTTGGGCCAGCTTGGAGCTATCTTGAGGCATCAAAAGCACATGGTCAGCGAAAAGGCGAGACGTCCGTTGAGTTTTGACGGACTTTGGCCTCCTGGTGGGGCCTTAAGGCGCTTTGTCAACACTCGGGGCGGTCTTGGAGCGGTCTCTGGTACCTTTTTGGAACACGTTGGGAACAATACTGAGACATCTTTGGCTGTCTTGGGCCATCCTAGAGGCCGTGTTGGAACATCGGAGGCCCTCTTAGGGCCATCTTGGACGCTCTAGCCGTTGCGCCCTCCTCACAGAAAACCTCAGGGAGGGCAGGAAGATAAGACCCCCCTCAAAAAGGAAGAGGGTTTGGGAAGAGAAAAGGAAGACATCGTTGGACCATCTGCGCCCAGAGGGCTGATGGGATTCAGATAATGGGGATGATGATGATGATGATGATGATGATGATGATGATGATGATGATGATGATGATGATGATGATGATGATGATGATGATGATGATGGTGATGGTGATGGTGATGGTGATGGTGATGATGATGATGATGATGATGATGATGATGATGATGATGATGATGATGATGGTGATGATGATGATGATGGGAAGAAGGTGGAGGGCACCAGGAGGATAAAGGGGTCCGCCAGGTGATGACTGACCCCCTCGTCTCCGCCGCGGCCTCGATGGCCGCCGAGTCTGCGGCCGGGGCCGCGGCGGTGGCGGTGCCGTCGCCAGGGCCCCAGGCCCGGGGCCAACAAGACCTGCACACCTCGGGCGCTCCTGGGGGGAGGGCACGAGGCACCCAGGACGGCGCGCGTGGGTCTCCTCGGTCCCCCGGGCGTCTATCTTCGGGCTCGGCTGAAGTCGGGCCTGTCCCTCTCCAGGAAGAAAAATTCAAAAATAGTCCAAAAATAGTCTGGGGCCGATTGTATTCCATTTTTGAATATTTAAGGGTATTTTCTTCCTATCTTTAATTTTTCGTCCAAAATCCCCCTGTAGGGGGACAGGCCCGACTTCGGCTCGGCGCCACCCAACCACCCAGCGACCCGTCAAGGAACACCGGTCCCAGGGACGGGGACAGGAGCTCTGGCCGCCACGGAGGGCCTACAGGGCCACTGCGAGGGTGCGAAGCGAGTCTCGCTTCGCGGCCTGGGCGATTTTTCGGAGCGAGGCGCGAGTCCCTCATCCTGTCCGGGCGGTCGGGGGGGAGGGCGGCGCGAAAGCGCGAGGATGATCGCGCTTTGTGGAGGACAATCAATGGAGAGGAAGCATGTTGCCAAATAGTTGCCAGATGTCTAGAACATGTGTTAAACATGTTTTAAACATGTAAAAATGATTTGAACAGATTTAGAACATGTTTCCTACATGTCAAACACATTTCAAATTCAATGATCGGACTGTTAGGGTGTCCATTGTTGTGGCATCCACAAATCGCCCTTCGCGCTCCTCGGAGCGCGAAGCGCGAACGGTTGCCCTGGGATTGAAGCATTGGGCCCGGCGACGGGGTCGGGAGCTCTGGCCGCCCCCGATGGCATGGGGACGAGGCCGATGTGCTCCGGGTGGCCCGCCGCCCGCATGGGCGCGCCTATGGGAGGGTCAGCGCCCGGAGCTCCGCGGCCCGGGCCAGAGAGCTGCCAGGCTGCACGCGCTGGCGGGCGGGCGGCGGAGAGCGCGGAGAGGATCGCAGCGCTCGGGCATCGCGAATAGGTGGCCACATGCGAAGCCTACCCCTACCCCCCACGATTTCTGAGGGGGAGGGTGGGGCTCACTTCGCTCAGGACCTCCCCCCTCAGAAATCGTGGGGGGTAGGGGTAGGGTTCGCATGTGGCCCCCTAGAAGCGCGATGATTCGGCTGCCCCCCTCCCCGAGGTCATCTTGCGGACCAGTGGAGCTGCAGATCTGGTCGGGGGCCCCTCTGGGAGTCCTCGGCGCGTTTGTCCTGCCCCCCCGGGTAACTAACTACCTTATACGGCCGAGAACTTTTGCACAGCGTGTCGCGCCGAAGCGCGGTGGGCCCACCGCGCTTCGGCGCGACACGCTAAGCACGTCCTGGTCCCCAGGCATCCACGTCCGAGCCTTTCCCAGTCTCCCGCAGCGCCGAGCGGAGCCACAAGCTATCAGCCGCTGCAGGCTGATAGCGCGTCGCTCCGCTCCGCGTGTCGCCTGGGCCGCCGCCGCGTCATGCCAAGCTACAGTTCCCGACCTTGAGGCGCAGTAGGGAAGCTGCGGAGCTGGTCTGGAAGCCCTCTGGGAAGGCCTGGCCTGGGCAGTCGTCCGGGATTGCGTTTCCCATGATTAAGAATTATGGGAAACACGATTGTGGCTCATTGAGTGCAGTTTTTTGAAAAAATCGTGTTCCCCATAGTTCGCAGGGCTTCGCCCTGGCCTGCGCCTGCCGCTGGCACAGCCGCACGCCCTCCGAAGGGGCGGGAGGCCTCTCGCGCCTCTAGAGGTCCGGTGGCACCCGGCGCCTTGCTCCCGGAGCCCTCGTGCGCAGGGGTGTTCGGGAGCCTTGAGACGGGGGTCAGTGCAAACGGGGGTCAGCCAGGGCACCGGATCCTGCAGGATCCTGCGAAGTTCCCCTCTGGCTGACCCGGGTCTGCGAGCCGCTCGTGGCCGCAGGGCGGCCGCACATTTTGGCTGACCAGGGTTTGCGAAGGCCAGCGTTGCAGTTTTTCTTTCTTGCAGTGCAGTTTTTTGGTTTCCTGCCGACCCGGGCCTGGACTGACCCGGGTCAGAAGATCCCCGATGGCTCCCGGAGCCCTCGTGCGCAACGGTGTGCGGAAGGCGCGGTCCACGTGTCCTGGCCCGCCGCGTCGCGGCGGGAGGTTTCGGTTTGGGCTTCTGTCCGGCGTCCTCGGGGCGCGCACCAGGCGGCCCCGAGGCCGGCAGCACATGGCTCGCTCGAGGTGAAGGGCCGGTCCCGCAGGAGGGGTCCAGACCTCTGCACGGGGCTCCCCGTGGCGAAAGGGTGACGGCGTCGGGAGTCTGGGTCGCCCTTGCTCCACGCCTTCTCACCGCCAGCACGGTCTCGGCAGGGCTAGGGGTGGAGACGGGGAAGTGGAGAGGGAGCCAGAAGATGAGGACGAGGAGGGCTCAGGGTTCACGTGGGGGGGATGCCTCGACCCCCAATCGCCCATTCATCGCCGGTTGGGGCCCTATAGCCCACCCCGCTCGATGTTTCCCCCCTGACCCAGTCCATTTGGGTATCCATGGCCAAACCTCGATTGGCGTTCCACTGGCTTCCAGACCCAGGGTGCCATCCAATGGTTTTTTATCTACGGTCGGGCCGAGGTAAAAGATCGAGGTCGGGGAGGGGAGGGTACCCCCGTGCTCTTCGTTCTTGTTGGAGGCTCCTGTGCACCCTGGGGGAGGCTACCCTCTAGTGATCTTGGGGCATGGGGTGCTCTGGCCGGCGGAGGGCCTCATGGTCTTCAAGGATACTCGTCTGCCCCAGGCCCGACTGTCCCAGACCCCCGACGCCATGATTCGTCCATGACGTCGACACCCAGAGGCCTAGCTGCCTCGATACGCCCGTTTTGAAACGAAACACGTACCGTGCTTGAAACGTCCACGTCAATACGCTGCGTGTTGGCTCAGCGTATTGGCCCACGTTTTGGCGAACGCATCGCGTCATACCGACGTGTTCAGTCTACGTGTTGAGCTCCGTATCAATACGCTGCGTGTTGCATGTTGCGTACCGGGGCAGCTAAGCCCAGAGGTCTGGGCCCATTCCCCAGGACAGGCTTCTCATCCTGAGTCCTTTTGCTGACGGTCCCGAGGCCCGGTAAGGGCTCCCAGAGGCCGAACGTAGCGAACAAGATCGACTAGACGTAAGAGTGACCTTTCGCCGGAGTGACCTTTGGTGCGGGCCCAATGGGGTCCCCCGATCGCCGAACGCGAGGCGGCAGTGCCGCCTTGCGCACTTGCTTTTGGCGCCCCCGCGGCCCGCAAAAAGCCGCACACCGAAGGTCACTCTTGCCCAGGGTCACTCTTGCGTGTAGTCGAAAACAAACTCCCCGTCGTGAGTGCTCCATGGCCCGACGGGGTCTGCCCTCGTCGCGCGGACGCCCCTGCCCTCACCAGCCTGGAACATATCCCTATCCCTATGATTGGCATCGCCTCATCTCGATGCCGATCTTAGGGATTCCCTCCGTTTCTGAGGGCGCATCCCTAAGATTGTCGTCGACTCTTGGCTTGTTAATCTTAGGGATAGGGATACGTTCGAGGCCAGTTAAAGCCCCGCAGGCCCACGTGGCCGCCGCCGCCTCCTCGCCGGAGCGGGCGGACGCCGCGCCCGTGGCGGCCGCCGGCCCGGACCAGGAGCCCCGCTGTTTTTGATCGAGGTTCGAGGCTCGAGGCTCGAGGATCGAGGCTCGAGGTTCGAGGTAGGAGCGAGGCTCAGAGGTGGGAGGAGCGAGGCTCGAGCATGGAGGCTCCAGGATCGAGGCTCGAGGTTCGAGGAGGATCGAGGTCGAGCGGTCGCTTTGCCTCCTCGAGGGTTCCCGGGAGGCTCCTCGTGGCCCCGAAGAGTGCCGTGGCCACGATCCGCCCCAGGACGGGCTCGGCGGCGATCGCTTCTGCCCTTCCCCCCCCCCGCGCAAGGCGAGAGAGGAGCCGCGCGCGCGCGGGGGAGCGGAAGTTCGGGGCCAGGCTGCGCGCTCGCAGAGGCGAGGGCGCTTCTCTGGCCCCGTCGGCTGGTGGCCGCAGACAGCCGGGCGACGAGGCACACGCAGCCGAGCCGGCGTGGCGCTCCGCGCCGAGCCTGGGCCCGGGATGGGCCTGGCCGGGATCGGTGCGCGTGCGGCTCGCTCGTTTAATGCGTTTGGCTGGGGGCTGCGCGCTCCCTCGAAGAAGCGCGCCGCGGCCACGGCATGCGGAGGATGGAGATTGTGAGATTGGGGCAGCGTTCCAGAGCGTCCAAGAGGACTCCAAGATGAGCCCAGGACGGCCCGAGAGGCCCCCAAGACGGCCCAGAGGGGGCCCAAGAGGGCCCAAGAGGGCTCCATGACGCCGAAGATGGCCTCCAGGACGGCCCTGAAGCGCCCCAAGAGAGTCCCAAGACGGTCCAGAGAAGCCCCCAAGACGGCTCCCGACGGCGTCGGATGGCCCAGGAGCCTCGCCTCAAGTGGGTCGACAGAGTTGCCAGGCCTTCCTGGGCGGGAAGGTTGGCGGACCGTGGCGGAAGCAGACCGATAGAGCGGCGCCACAGGCGGGAACCCGCGGAAGGCTGGCGGAAGTTGGCGGAAGCAACAGATGCGCCGCCAAGCGATGGCAAGGTCCCCAGACCCCCGACGTCATGCTTTGTTCCCCGCGTGGACCCACAGCGGTCTGGAGCCAGTCCCTGGGACCGGCTCTTCCTCCCGACCCGCTTGATGCACGGTCCCGAGGCCAGGCAAGGGCCCCCAGACGCCGAAAATAGTGTTAAGTCGTGCCTGTCCCTCTACAGGAGGGACATTCCAAAATAGTCAAAAAATAGTAAGGGGATTATTTTTTTTGTATTTTTTGACCATGTTGGAGCTTTTTCTTTTGTGCGTATTTTTGATTTTTCGTTGAAAATCCCCCTGTAGGGGGACACGCCCGACTCAAAAACAGTGGAACATCTTCCGTCGTGTTTTTTCTGACCCGGCGGCGCGCCGGTCTCAAGGGGGGGAGGGCCCCTCCCAGATCCCCTTGTTGAATGGGGGCCCCTGTGGGGGATAGAGGCGAGAGAGGACTTCCCCCGCCGGCGCAGGCGAGGCAGGCGGTTCGGGGGCAGGGGCCCCGGCGGCACCAGCGCCTGAGGATCCCAACCCCGACGCTCTTGACGCAGTGGCGGGGAGTGCGTGAGCGCGATATCTCGCAGATCCCTATCCCCAGACCCCCTCGAGGCATGGAACAAGAACACGAGGGGAGGCTTTTGTCGCTATAAGTTCGGCCTCTGGGGGCCCTCGCTGGGCCCCGGGAGCGTCCAATAGCGACTCGGCACGAGAGACCGGTCCCGGAGAGTGGTCCAGACCCCAGGGGTCGACGTTGTGAAAAATCATGCCGTCGGGGGTCGACGGTCTGGGTCCACCTCCCTCTCCCGCTCCCCTCGGCGCCGTCTCCCTCCTGCTGACCATTCTCATCTTCCTCCTCAATCTCTCGTGCTGTTCTCCCTTCTCTCTCCCCGCCTTCCCGGCGCCTTCCTCGCTCGGCCGGGACGACGCTTGGCAATGTGATTGCTGCACTGCTTGTCGGGGGCGGCGCTCACGCGACCCGACCGATGTCAGGGGAGCTGGATCAAGTCGAGCGGCCAGGACTGCCCTCCCCCCGCTTCTGTGCCCAACCCGGGCCGTGTCGGGGATCCTCTGACCCGGGTCAATCCAGACCCGGGTCAGTCAGGCCTTGCATAATTTTGCAAGATCCTGCACCCAAACCCGGGCTGGAGCGGTGCCAGTGTCCCGGGGAATGGTTCAGGCCTTGGGGGTCGACGGTCTGCAGGAGGAAGAGCTCTCCGCCGCTCCTGGGGGGGAGGTCGCCGCAGCTCGCTGGCAGGGGAGGCGGGGCGAGCTGAGATCCGGGTGCTTCGATGTTGTCGAGCCGGGCATTTTTCTTCAAGTGTCGGGCCCAAAGGGAAATTCGTATCATTCCGTGTTCGCATTCCACCTGGTCTTCAGCGTCGGGTGGCAGCGTAGCCCGCTCCCGTCGCTTAAGGCCTAATTTAGCCCGCTGCTCGTTCGCTGCGCGTTGACTTGACGCCGGGCGATTTGTCGCTACGGTCGCGAACAAAAAAGTTTGCACGACGGCAGCGGGCTTATGTTTCAGGCTCGCGACGTTTCGCCTTATCCGCGTGAGGCGTTTCAATGTTCCTCCTGGTGCACCTGCTCCTTGCTCCTGCACCGATTCCGGGTTGTTGTGATGGGCATGGCGGGCTGTGCGAGGAACGCATGTGATGCCAAACAAACTAACAAAAAGTGTCGGCCGCAAGGGCCCTCCCAGATCGAGCCGGCTCGAAACGCGGCGAGGAAAGAGTCCCGGGGCTCCCTTCCTGAGTTGTTTCTGCGGTGTTCCCGTTTTCGTGCGCCGTCGGATCGCAGGGGCCGGAGCTCGGGACGATCGAGAGGTCAAGCAGTGGCGAAGCGTCTTGGCGTGCCTATAGCCTCCCCAAACAATGTTCTAAGAACCTTGTGTGGTTCCCACGGAATGTTCTTAGAACATGTATGATTGGGACTGTCTTGTTTTTTATCACACCGGGTTTATGTTGTAAGAACATTGTTTCGTTCTTAGAACATTTTGGGGTTCTAAGAACATGTCGTGGTAGGACTATAGGACTGCCGGGACGGTCGGTGCCTGCTCGATGCGGGGCACGGAGAGAATGGGCGCAAAGACCGACAGCATGTCCTGCTCATTTTGGGCAGGGCGCGCTGTCGGTGTCGCCGCGGACGGTGTCCAGCTGAGACAGGAGGCCGTCCGCCCAACAGCGGCCGCTGTCGGCTTTGGGGCAGCAGCTGATGTCTGGCAGTTTTCCCATGTTTTTCCGTACCCATCTCGGGCGCTCAAATGCTTGGCGTCGCTCGGGCATGTGCATTTGTTTTCGGCGACGGCCATCGAAGAGCTGGCGAAGAACTCGCGCACGAAACCGAAAAACGCACCGGAAATGGACGTCCGAGCGACGGCAAGAAGGAGCGACAGAACTGCTAGCTGCTCGTGGGGCTCGTCGTCGGCGTCGTCGTCATCGCTGTCGTCGTCGAGGGGGGGAGAGGGGCGCCATCTCGGAAGGCCGCCCTTCCCCGGTCCCTGCCCTCATCTGCGCGCCTATAGGGCCCCCTGTTAGCTTCGGAGCCCCAGGCGGGAGCTCCCCTGCACGGCCCAGATTGGGCACAGAAGCGGGGGGAAGGCAGTCCTGGCCACTCGACTTGATCCAGCTCCCCTGACATCGGTCGGGGCGCGTGAGCGCCGCCCCCGGCAAGCAGTGCAGCAATCACCTTGCCAAGCGTCGTCCCAGCCGAGGAAGGCGCCGGGAAGGCGGGGAGAGAGAAGGGAGAACAGCACGAGAGATTGAGGAGGAAGATGAGAATGGTCAGCAGGAGGGAGACGGCGCCGAGGGGAGCGGGAGAGGGAGGTGGACCCAGACCGTCGACCCCCGACGGCATGATTTTTCACAACGTCGACCCCTGGGGTCTGGACCACTCTCCGGGACCGGTCTCTCGTGCCGAGTCGCTATTGGACGCTCCCGGGGCCCAGCGAGGGCCCCCAGAGGCCGAACTTATAGCGACAAAAGCCTCCCCTCGTGTTCTTGTTCCATGCCTCGAGGGGGTCTGGGGATAGGGATCTGCGAGATATCGCGCTCACGCACTCCCCGCCACTGCGTCAAGAGCGTCGGGGTTGGGATCCTCAGGCGCTGGTGCCGCTGGGGCCCCTGCCCCCGAACCGCCTGCCTCGCCTGCGCCAGTGGGGGAAGTCCTCTCTCGCCTCTATCCCCCACAGGGGCCCCCATTCAACAGGGGGAGCCCGCATTGCCCTAGCCCTCCTAGATGGGGTCCCAGTAGGCGGGGTCGGAGGAGCGCGCCGCATCGCCGATGCATCAGCGAAGCGGCGCGATGCTCCGACCCCATCTGCTTGGACCCCACCTGGGAGGCCTCTATACATGCGTCGCACCGGGGGGCCTCTCGCTCCACGACAAGGGTTGCGCTGCCCGCGCGGGCAGGGGCCTGGCGCGGGGGCGCAGCTGAGTCGCATCGGCGGGGGGTGTCGCTCCGCCAGTGTTGGAGGGGTCTCGCTCTGCGACCCGGGCGGCGCCTTCCTGCCCGACAGGCGCTCGAGCGCCGGCGTGGGTCTCGCGCTGACGTGACGCTCCGATCGACTAGGCGTACGAGTGACCTTTCGCCGGAGTGACCTTTGGTGCGGGCACGGATGGGCCCCCAGACGGCTAAAAGAGAAGCGGTAGCAGCGGTTTGCGCGCTTGCTTTTGGCCCCCGTGCGGTCCCAAATAAGCGCGCACCAAAGGTCACCCTTGCCCAGGGTCACTCCTGCGTGTAGCCGATCCGAGACTGGTGGCGCACTTGGGGGGGTCCGTTGCGAAAAATTCGCAGCCTCCTGAGAGATGCACACGAAGACACGCGAATCCGGAATCCTGCGTTGTCAGGTGCAAAGTAGCCCCGGCAGCCGCAAGCGTGTCTTCCATATGCGGATCTTCCACCAGGAAGCTCCAGGGGCCGCCGTGAGCGTGTTTTTTGTTCATGTGCCGCAGCAGCTGTAACAATCACGGGGGGCCGCCGCAGGCTATTCTTGTGGATTGCGCAGCGGCCCCCTCGCGATGTCCAGGGGCCGCCGTTGTTCGATGCGCTCCGTTTTGGAAATAGGATGTCTGAGCCTCACGGCGATGGTTCCCCGTAGGAGCGCAGCGCGACAATCGCGGACTCGGATATCTGCGAGGACGCCCAACGCAACAATGAAGATTGTCTGATGCAAGGTCCGCGGACAAGCGCAGCAGGAATCAAACGGAACCGGGGGGCATCGCTCACCTTTCAGAGAACAGCCGAATCCTGAGCCTGATATCAGCTCGTGGGTGAGGATGTCTCAGTCGAGACGATTGCACTTGCGTTCGGTAGAAGCAGACACGCAAGGGAGACTCAACGGAAACCGCGGGAACTTCCAGAAACCAAGAGAAAGCCGCCGGAGCTGCTCCAGAAATTGAGAACACTAGATCAGCAGCCGCATGGCGGGGAGCCCACTGCCCCGATGAGGAGCCTGCGGCTTCCCGCCCGCCAGGTCCACGCAGAGTTTCGGAATTTTTGCGGGAAGCGCTCGCCCGCATCGACCCGCCATTGTCGTCGACCGCCGTCTACAATTGGCTTCGGCCACCTCCGCCACCGCCGTCGTCGCCGCCAGCAGCCTCGCCACTTCTCATCGCCAGCACCGTCAGCGCCGCCCCCATTGCTGTCGCCACCGACGCCCTCGCATTCCATATGCTCGTCGCCATGATCGCCATCGCCGCGGTCATCGCTGCGGTCTTCGCCGACGCCAACCATGCGCGAGCAAGAAAATTGTTTGCTCGGGCGGGAATCACAAGGGCCGCCCGTCCTTTCATGCGTTCGCGTCGCCTTGATCGTTATGGCCGCGGTCACCGCTGCGGTCTTCGCTTACGCCAACCATGTGCGAACGAGAAAATTGTTTGTCCGGGCCAAAATCAAAAGGGCCGCCCACCCTTTCATGCGTTCGCGTATCTGGCGGAAGGCCACGCGAAAACGGACAACCGCAATTTCCCCTGGTCTGCATGGCCGCCGCTCGCCGGGGCATCCCCCCACGCGTGTCGCCCAGGTGGTTTCGCAAAGGAGCCTTAAGGAGCCCGCTTGGAACGTATCGGCTTGTCGAGTCTCCGCAAAACGGGCTTGAGTTCCCTGGGCCGCTCGGACGCCTTGCGGGAGGTATTTCAATCTGTGCTGGGTGCAAGACGAAGGAGACGCATCTCGCCTCGATGCGTCGCTTGGAGGCGCGCGAGATGAACCTCGCAGGCCCCGTCGCTCGTGTGGCCTTCCGTTGAGCGTTCCGACCAATAGTCGTCGGCGCTTGACGTTGGTTTTGCGCGGCGCTCGATGCACGAGGGAGGGGAGGAAAAGGAACAAAAGGAGGACAGGAGGATGAGGAGGATGAGGAGAAAGGTCAGGAGAAGGGGGAGGAGAGGCTGAGGAAGGTAGGAGACGCAGGAGGGGGCCCGGGGCAGGAAGAAGAGGGTGAGGATGATGATGGTGATGATGGTGATGGTAACGGTGATGATGGTGGAGAATGAGGAGGAGGAGGAGGAGGAGGAGGAGGAGGAGGAGGAGGAGGAGGAGGAGGAGGACGACGACGACGACGACGACGACGACGACGACGACGACGACGACACCGACGACGACGACGACGGATGACGACGACGACGATGACGTCGACGACGCCGTCGAGGAGGACAAGGATGAGGTTGAAGAGAGGAGCCGGAGCACGAAGGACACGAAGAGCGCACGCGGCCCCCAGGCCGCGGGCACCGCGGCTGTGCCCGACGCGGCGCCCGCTGCGTCGCGTCGGGACCCGAAGATGGCCGACATCCCGCCGTTCCCGTTCCCAGGGCCCGTCGCTGGTACGGTGCCGCTGTCCCTGGCGGAGGCCACGGCGGCGCGGCGGGTTCCGCCCCTGAGATCCTGGTGTTGACGTTTGTTCAAACCGCCCCCGTCCTTTGTCGGTTTTGGTCTCTGGGGGCCATCACAGATCTGGTTCGCAGTAGATGCAGCAGGATGATAGGTCTAGTGCTCTGGTCGAGGTTTTTCGCGATGCTACATTTTTTCGCAACGTCGGATCTCAGGAACGGCCTACGGTGAT